AACATGAAATTTACAGTACGGCATATATATATACATACCCATATGTATGTGTATATATTCGTATATATATTATATATATGCTTTGCTTGATCAAATGGGGCGAGACAAGGCTTCAAAGCATTTCCACTATAAGAAATTCGATAAACGACAAAAGATATTTACTAACTATAAGTTAAATTGATCAAGTACGACTGCATAGTAGATAAAAGAAATTAAAGAAATTGAAGTTGAACGAAAAGAAATCAAAGCTGTATTTTAAAGAGAAAACATAAGTGAACAGAGAGATTTGTTGGCGAATTGAAAAACGCTTTCAGCTCTCTTTGTTTCAGTTTGTTTTTAACGCTCAAAATTGTTAAAAAAAAGACAAAAACAAAAAGTTAAAGGTATACAAATTTTTAAATAACTCATTTATAGGCTTAAATCCATATACGTTTTGTTCATAATTCAATTAGTTTAGTTCCAAACAAATTACAATTAATTTGTACTTAAAATGCGCTAAGTTAGTTGTAAAACAAAGCAAAAATCAGAAGAAGAAGGAGAAAATGAAGTCGCACAACGTTTGTAAATATTGTCATATTGTCAATAAGTTTTAAGCCAACTAGTTTATACAATTCGAATTCTAAATAGCAAATATAATGCGAAAAAACGAACAAAAAGCGTGTAGATAAATTTAAGTTTAGACATAAATAAGCAACAAAACAAAAACAACAACAACAAAAACAACTAAAAACAAATCCTAGGCAAATTCAATTATTATGTTCACAATCGAATTAAAAAAAGAAAGAATAACAAATAAAACTCAATACAAGACATGATACTATGTTTTGTTTACTCACACACACACACACATGCACACACACGCACACACACGCACGCACAGCACACAAAGCTAAGTGAGTTTTCTATTCATTGATAACCTGGCAGCACGTATTACAAATATTTTTGCCATGCCAACTCATTTGTGTCCTATGTAAACTCAGTTTCGTTTAGGTCTGGTGCGACTGAAATTTGATGAGAGCTGCTTGTCTTTGCTTGCTGCTTGAGCTACATATATCGGAACATAACATATAGCTGCCATAGTTCTATAGTTAGACCACAAATAAAATAACAATAATAACTCATATGTTCATATATGAAGTATACAACTGCCAGGGTATTCAGACTTCGGAGAGCTCCGAAGTTTAAGTTCTCTCTGATTTATAACAACATTCAGTTGGTGCAAGCAGCATTGTTTAAATGCGACTGGTGGGTATTGCAAGTTTTTATTCCTATTGCTATGCATCAACTAATAGAACAATTAAAAATATATATATATACAACAACAACTATATACTTATATATCGCGTTTTCCTTTTGCTTGTTTACCACTTCAATCAATTCAATTCGATTGTTTACGTAGCTACAACTTATTATAGATACATTCATAGAGTTAATTGTGTTCTTTTTTGATACAAATATATTTTACTTAGTATAAATTAGATTAAAGTTTGAATTCGATTATTTATTTGGAGACAAGCGAAACTAATATTGAAATTAAGTACGAATTGCAGCTTGTGTTTCCATTAGTTAGTTATTTTCTTTAAGTAGATTAATAATTAATTAATTAAATTTAAACAAAAGAAAACAACAATAACCATAAAACCAGTTAACAGACAATACAAATATCTTATTACGTAGCGCAAAAACGAATTTTTTATTACAAATCCAAAAAAAACCAGAAAAAAACAAGAAACATTTACAAACTCAATTTAATAAATAGATACCTTAGATCACATTTTGATTGAAGGCTTGGCATTTTATTCCGAAAACAAAATTGCTTTATCGTTTTTATTAAGTGCCTTCTGTATGAGGAGTGAGTCCTGCAGTTAACAAAAAGCTGGCCGCCTTCCCAGTTGGAACCAATTAATGATATACGCAGCTCGATATCCCCCTAAAAATAACTTAATAAAAACTAAGCACAAACACCAAAAACTTACGATCCTAAGATCATAACTGAATTCTACATAGCAACGACAAAAAAACCAAACCAAAATCTCTGACTAAAAAGCAACTAATATTTTGTAGTTCTCTAATATTTTTATTCAGCTTGTTTTTATTTTTTATTTTTCAACTTTTTTCTAATATTTTCTAATGCTATGCTTTCATAATATTTTCGCCTTTTGTTACTATAAACTATAAACTAAACAAACTATTTATAATAAAGGTAAGCCGTAAAAATAAAACAAACAAACAAATCAAAAATCAATGATAAACACGCACGCACATATATAGTATAAATATATATATATATATATATATATATATATATATATATATATATATATATTATACATACAATTTATAATTATAATTGTCACTAAGAAAACCTCAAAAGGAAATGAAATAAATGTTGTAAAATTCGTGCCAAGCAAGAAACAAATGAAAATTTCACCAACAAAAATTAACTAAAGTAAACTAGCTAATAAATATACAAGAAAATGAAGAAAACAAAGAAGCAAGAAAATATGGACAGTTAAAGTAAAATCTAGTTGTATATGAAGCTATAGCTATTGAACATACAGGGTTTTAAATGTGAGCAAATAAGTAGTCGATGGTTCGGGCAAACAGTTAGAGGCCAACGGAAAAAATGTGTTTGGATTGCTGTTTCAAATGTGTTTTGATTGATGTTGATGTTGACGTCGATATAGCACTGGTTCACAAAGAGATAACTGAAAAGAGTTAAAAACAAAATGATAGCAACGTAGTTTTTAGCACATCTGTCTAGCAATCGGAATGCGTTTCTCAGCTATTCCAGCTCGTGTCTGTAGTATTTTAGTACTATGTTAGATCAAAGTGTTTCGGCCGACCCGAAACTTGGCGTAGGTTGTGTGCTGCCTTCAGTTGCCGTTCATCAATTTGGTCAATTATCATTTAGCAGAGAAACCGAGGAGAAAAGAGTTTTCTTTACCATGCGGCAGTCCAGTATTTCGGTGTAAATAGTTTAAATATATATGCATATACATGCAAATAATATGGAAATGTCATATGGTTAGGTTTAACAATTGCACAAATTCTAGATGAGATCCAAAAGTAAAAAGACTTACAAGTTTCGAAGTGACATCAAAAATTAAACGACATTTAGCACATAAGTTAACATATGTGTAGTTAAGCTAAGTCACAAGCAAACGCAGTGTTGCATAACGCATGCAAATAGACTAGTCATAAATGGAAATAATAAAAAACCACACATTACTAATATTAACTAATTACTACTAAAACAAGGCCAAAGCCCATTTGCATTCGACACAAACACCCACACATAGGCAGACAAACAATCGATTCTCTTCACGTCACTTTCCAACACTATTTCACTCTTTACTCTAAAGAAATTAAACTCGCACAAATTGAAAATAAATGAAAAATCTAAATAAATTTTAAATCATAACACATATCTTCAAGCATTAAAAAAACGGCGGCCCTTTAGCCAAGCCCAATTCTAACAATCAAAAAAACAAAACAAAACAAAAAAAGAAAAAGAGAAACTCCAATTATCATTTCTAAGAAAAACAAACAGATATATTGAAAGATGTAAATACGAATCACTTACAAATCGTAAACCTGCAACATCCTTACTTTATAGAGCTAAGTGGACACACGCACACAAACACACACACACACACATGCAGACATAATTAACAATTAGCAAACAGAGAGACATCACCAAAATACATTCTAAAAGTTAAGATCAAGCGTTCAAAATAAAAGTTTAAAAAAGCATTTTCTGTAGTGCAACCCGTGAAAGTAAATTGAAAAAGGAAAAATATACCAAAATCAAACGACAACTAACACCAAAAACCGAAAACGAAACCAAAACCAAGGCAAACAAGAAGAGATAATTACATATTAATGCATAAGTAAAATATTAGTGAAATAATTATACAAAATAGTTGAAATAATTGTTGTATTGCCATCAACCCGAAGAAGGAAAAACAAAAAACATAAAACTAAAATCAGATGTGTAAAACCCCAGAATAATACAAATGTTTGTGAAATGTTTATAAATGAAAACAAAAAAATAAAAAAAAAAAACAAAAAAGAAAAGAAAAACACAAAATGGCATGTTTAAATAAAAACCCAAATTTAAAATGTAACAAGCCCTCTTTTATTTTTCCAAAATAACAGCACTTGCTTGGTCTCGGCAGCTTCAATATTAATATCGACATTCCTCTTAATTTATAAACTAATTTTATTTTTTTTGGTTTTTATTTTATTTTAGAGTCGTCTTAGGCTTTGTTTAAGCCAAATGGAATTGAAATATTGTATAGAGAATCAGCTTATGGGTGAATCACAGTCCACTATTTTCGTTTGCAAATTTAAAAGCTTTAAATTTGTAGTCGTCTTTATGTGGATATTTATTAGTGCCGAAAAAATTATAATGTATTTTTGCTCGATAACTTAACATTAAAGTTTATGTAATTTTGTTTGAAATCTAACATTTTCGACTGCTTGCTGCAACTACAGTGAAAGGGAAAGGAGCTAACAGCATAACAACTGCTTCCATTAAATATCAAAGCAGTGATAAAGAGATAGAGGTATTAAGCAAGCAGTCGTAGAACTTTTATATTAACTGGACACTGCTTGTGATAAGCAGTTTCTTTGTTGTGCTATAGCAATTAGCAGTTGTCAGCAGCCGAAAGTGTCTTAGATCAGGTAAAAAATATATATTTCAAAAAGTTCTTTTAACCAATTATAAAAAAAAATAAAAAATTTCACTAAAAATCATGATCCGACAAACATCGGCATGCGATTTGAAAGAAGCAAATAATTCACTTGAGGGGTATACAAATAGGTATACAATACACACTTTAAGCGCTAAATTGTCGTCCAATTTTCAGCACGATCTTAACGATAATCATAAAAGTGATCGCGTGACATCTAAATCTATTGCATGTCCAGCTGTTTACAGTTATCATACAAAGCGGGAATCTTTTGACCTTTAAATAGGGCCAAGCTGTGAGGCAGCCGCATCAGTTGCATCAGAATGTTGGATCTTAACGCTAACCCAACGACCAGTTACAATGCCGAACTCAAGATTTGGTCGGGAGCCCGGGAGCAGAGCTACTACAACGATGACCTGACCATTGGTCAAATCATATTCCGGCAGCTGCAAAGCGATCCGCATCGCATATTTCAGATCTCACACGGCGAGAATACACGTCTCACCCGCTCCCAAATGCTGCGCAATGCAGCTAAGGTGAGTATGTATCTGAGGGCTCAAGGCTATCTCGAGGAAACAGATATTGTGGGCTTGTTGGCTAGGAACAGCACACACTTAGCTGCTCTCGCCTATGGGTGTCTCTTCAATGGCACACCCTTCCATGCCATCAATCCCAGCCTGGAGGCGCACACTATACGCCATCTCTTTGACATAACCAAGCCGCGACTCATCTGCTGCGATGCGCCGGACTATGAGAAGCTGCGCACTATCGCCTCAGCACTGGGTATTCCAATTTTAATCATACATGGACGCATAGCGGGCGTCATGAACATTCAGGAACTGCTGGAAGCGTCTATCTCCGACGATTATAAGCCCCCCCAGTTTGAACGTGGCATCGATCGCATCATGGCCATACTCTGCTCCTCGGGCACAACTGGCACACCCAAAGCGGTCACCATATCGAATAGCCGCCAGATATTCGAGAGTCATAGGTACTTAACTATCTCTTAATATCTATCTAGCTAATCTCTGAACTATAATTCCTTCAGTTATCTGAATAGCAACGACATACAATACGCGCCCAGCACCCTGGACTGGCTTACAGGTTTGATAACCCTAGTTACGGCGGGGGTTTACGGCACAGTACGGCTCATATCGCAGAAGGCTTTCTGTGCCGAGCAGTTCCTATCCATGTGCGAGAAGGAGAGCATCAGTTGGGCCGTGGTGGCCGCCTCGCATATTGCTATGTTGGCCAATAGTCCGGCTACCGATGTGCGACAGCTGCGCAGTCTGCGGCACTTGCTCTTCGCTGGGGGCCACACGCTGGTCGCAACGCTGAACAAGATGCAGAGCTATCTGCGAGGCGAGGGCATCCTGCGCAACGCCTATGGCATGACAGAGCTGGGCACCTGCGTCTCCTGTAACTACACAACGCACACGAAGCCCAAGTCAGTGGGACGCCTCCTGGGCAACATACGAATGCGCGTGGTGAACGAGTCGACTGTGTCGGTGGGTCCAAATGAGCTGGGCGAGCTCTATTGCCATAATGGGCAGCACTGGAGCGGGTACTATGGCAACTCATTGGCCACAGCAGAGATGCAAGACAAGGAGGGCTGGTTTCACACCGGAGACTTGGGCTACTTTGATCAGGATAACTACCTACATATCGTAGAACGTAAAAAGGATATGCTCAAGTATCTGGGCATGATGTACTATCCGCATGAGATCGAGGAGGTCATCGCCCAAATGCCGCAAGTCGCTGAAGTTTGCGTCTTTGGCATTTGGAACGAGACCGAAGGCGATGCAGCTGCTGCCTCGGTGGTACCCAAGCCAGACGCTCAGATCAACGCCGCTCAAGTGGTGAACTTTGTGGGTCAGCGCATTGGCGTCAAATATAAACAGTTGAACGGTGGTGCACAAATTGTCCCACAACTGGCAAAGAGTGCCAATGGCAAGGTTAATCGCCAGGCTGTAAAGGCTGCCTACCTGGAAACAGCTCAGAGGACAGAGCTAACTGATTAGGAAAATGAGTCTAGAGACCTAAGCCTTTATTTCGAATTTATTCACTGTTCAATTAAACTTATTCTAGGGTCAGCCAGATAATTAGTTGTAAAACTATATAAAAAGTGAGTGCTCAACTGAGATCATAATACTTATTTACATATTTACAATATACTTTGGCGTTATCCAAATGTTAGTTACTGAACTTGAAGTGTACCCAGTTTAGATAAGAATTTCCAAAAGAGCTACAAGTCATGTATCTGGATATGTTTGTATACGAGAGAAAGCAAGTAACAACTTTGCAGTCGGGCATAACCGACTGCATAATACCCGGTATTGTTAAAATATCAACATTATTTGGATTTACCATGCGCCATATAATGTAAAGGTCTTATCAGTAGAAAAGGTGAACTAATTATAAAATATATTTACGGCGTTTATATAGGAAATAGTTACTTTGTTTATGTGTGAAAATATATACTTGCAATTGGAATTATTACAAAAATATTAAGATCTTATGCACTGAGAGTATATAAGGGAGTAAAAGCTAAGCATTTCTACGCATAGTTTATCGGACTGTACAAAACCAATAAACTCCATTGACGTCAAGAACGAGTATATCCGCAATGATACTTCTGCAAGATTGGCCTATATCATTGCAGCAAAAATGTAGTCCATATCATTGCACCAAAATTTCCATGATTAGCCAACTTATCTCAGAGTGAGCGTTGACAAAAGTGTAACGATAATAATCATTGCCAAAGCAGCATGATGTAAGCAATTACAAAATAAGAATTGATAACGCTTGACTTCAAAATACTTTTACTTTTGATCATATGACAAGCACGAACTAATCTTTAAATTTACACAACAAATATAAATATATGTAATATGGAAAAAGTAATATTCTTTAAGCTAATTATTAAGCAATGCAAAGCTAATTGTATTAATAATGATTAATACTCCAACAGCATTTGTGCAATTCATGGTAATGTGAACTTCCTAATTAGCAGAGCGAGTGTTTATATATACATATATATATATACGTATACAATTTGTCATATATAATCCAATGCAACTTGATTCGCTCTCGTGTCCATATTTATTGTAATAAACTCGTTGCAATTGCCGTGACTTGCAGATTCGAGAACATGATTAAGAGCGCTGAGCGCCGAGATAAGCTGATCGTGCCTACTTTTTCTATATATACATTTGTTGCTTTGTATTGATGTTTCCTCAGTGATATGTACATTTGAATGGGTTACTGTAAGAGATTGGCTCTCAAGTAAGGTCATACTTTGATGGATGCTTAAGCGACAAGAAATGAAAATCTAATAATCACCTATTAATCATTAAATAAGTTCAATATTGATCATCCCTCGCCAGAGTCAAGCACAGACACAATCCCAATTGTCGTCAACTCATGATTAGCTCAACAATTCACAGTTTCAAACAGCACTTGAATAAATTTGTATTCACACATACAAACACATCACAAATTTCCGCCTTGCCCTTGTAACAAGTGTATTCCAGTAATAATAAAACGGGCTACTACTACTATCTACGAATCGTAATCACGCTATTTGCGAGTATAAAAACCCAGCTGCACTCAATTTCAACCCATCAATCTTTGGCCTCAGCTAGTTGTAATCAGAATGCCTTACAAGCCAGAAAACACCTACGATGCGGATCGGAAAATTTGGAGTGGACAGGATGAACGTGATTACTTTGCTCCCGATTTGTCAATAGGAGAGATCATTTTCCATGAGATGCGACGTCATCCAAAGCTCATAGCTCAAGTAGGTAACCCAGGACCTAGCTAAAAGAAGACATACTAATCACACTGTCGACTAGATATCTGATACTGAAAAAACAGTGTTAACGCGGGAGGAGCTCCACTTGAACTCGATGCGTGTGGCCAGTTATTTGAGATCCTTGGGATTACTACAATCGGATATTGTCGGAATCATAGCACGAAATACCACACATATTTTTGCGGTTACCTACGGCTGCTTTTTCAACGGAATTCCTTTCCACGCACTCAACATACTATACGAGCAGGCGACTATTGAACAGCTCTTCAGTATAACAAAGCCAAGCATTATCTTTTGCGATGGCGATGAATACGATAAGGTGAAAGCAGCTACAAAAAACTTGAACGTGAAGATCGTTACAATGCGTAACCATCCGATGGAATCTATTAGTATTGACGAGGTTTTGGCTACCCCTGTGGAAGAGAATTTTATGCCTGCTCGGCTGGAGCAGGGGAATCTTCAAACCCTCGCCATTCTTTGCTCTTCGGGAACTACGGGTATTCCCAAAGCAGTGACCATCACGAACAGTCGCAAGATCCTTAACCCAACCTCGTAAGTAAAGTCAGCTTTACAGTAATTATATAAATGCTATAGCTCAAGCCATCTTAGATATCTGACCACGGCGGACGTTCAGTACACGCATAGTACTTTGGACTGGGTGACAGGTCTAATAACAACGGTTACTTCTGCTGTCTACAGCACAAAGCGCATTATAGCTGATAATCCTTTCGATCCAGCACGCTTATTGCGAATCATTGCGGAACACAAGGTCACCTGGCTGATGCAGGCACCTTCCCACTTGGCTATGACAGCCAACTGTCCGGAATTTGAGAACGCAGATTTGCTAAGCATACGAAGTTACTTCTATGGAGGCGGTCGCTGCTCCTTAGAGGCGCAACAAAAAATAAGGAGTCGATTACGCCATGATTGTATGAACCTGGCCTACGGCTTTACCGAAGTCGGAAGTGCGGTATCTAAAAACTATCACTTTGATGAGAAGCCCAATTCGGTTGGCCGTCTGATGAATGGCTTCAAGGTGAAGATACTCGATGATCACGGAAAGCCCTTGGGACCAAACGAAGTGGGCGAAATATGCGTATACTCTGGTCAATATTGGGCCGGCTACTATGGCAACCCGAAGGAGTCGCACACAGTACGGGACTCAGCCCTATGGTTTCATAGCGGGGATCTGGGCTACATGGATGACGATGGCTTCCTCTACATAGTGGAGCGGAAAAAGGAAATGCTCAAGTACCAGAACATCATGTATTATCCACACGAAATAGAAGATATCATTTCTAAGATGCCAGAAGTGGCAGAGGTCTGTGTCTTCGGCATCTGGAATGAATTCAATGGTGACGAGGCCGCTGCAGCTGTGGTTAAAAAGATCGGATCCAACATACACGCACAGGATGTGATCGACTATGCGAAACAACACTCCACTGCCAAGTACAAGCATTTGCATGGAGGAGCTATCATTGTGGACGAGCTGAAGCGAACTGTCAATGGCAAGACCAACCGCCAGGCGACAAAGGCCTACTTTCTGGAGGTTAAAGATAGAAATTAAAGGGCTGAGATTTATTTTTAAGCAGATTAGCACAAGTTATGTTCAAGCACACTCCCACAACACTGAGCAATCAAATAAATATTTAGTTGAATTACTTTTTAATCACTATTTAAATTAATTTAAAGCAACAATTTCTAGCATTGTTGATAGAGATATTAGAATAAAATCGATTTGAAAGTCCACAGCCACAGCCAGAAGCAGAAGTTGTCAAGTCTAATTGGCTCAATAATGAAGGTTTAGATATGATATCTGAGTAAATACGAGCGCCTCATATATAATATTTATCCACATGCATATCATATCATTCAGCTAAGCACATCTTTATGCATTTAAAAGCAAACAAGATAAAGCCTTTGTTATCTATGATATCACAGCACGCAGACTTTATAAAACGCAGCGAGTTTCCTTTTCGTTTCATCAGTGACTAAAATTAGCTCCTTGTAGTCGGAATGCCTTTCAAACCAGAGACCACGTATAATGCGGAACTTAAAGTCTGGAGTTCAGTAGTTGAACGCGATTATTTTGCACCCGATCTATCAATCGGAGAGATTATTTTTCATGAGATGCGACGCCATCCAAAACTCATAGCTCAATTAAGTAATTAGTTACTTACCAATAAAACATATTCTGAGCAGCTATAATTGCCGAGCAGATCTCGGACTCGGAGAGCACAGTGTTGACCCGGGAGGAACTCCATTTGAACTCGATGCGTGTGGCCAGCTATATGAGATCGTTGGGATTATTGCAATCGGATATTGTGGGAATCACTGCAAGAAATACCACACATATCTCTGCCGTGATCTACGGATGCTTTTTCAATGGTATTCCCTTTCACTCACTTAATATGGCCTTTGAGGAAGCGACGATTGAAAAGCTCTTCAATATAACAAAGCCACGACTCGTATTTTGCGATGGAGATGAATACGAAAAAGTGAAAGCAGCTACGAAAAACCTAAATGCTAAGATCGTTACAATGCGCAACCACCCGATTGGCTCAATTAGGATTGATGAAGTCTTGGCTACCCCGATAGAAGAGAACTTTGAACCGTTGCGCCTTGAGCAGGGAAATGATCAAACCCTTGCCATTCTCTGCTCTTCCGGAACTACGAATATTCCCAAGGCTGTAACTATCCCGAACAGTCGAATGATCCTTTTCGCAACTTTGTAAGTAAAACGATATCATACAGTAATCAGTTATTGAAGTATAATAATCCATAGACATCTGACCACTGCGGACGTTCAGTATGCGCATAGTACGTTGGACTGGTTTTCGGGTTTTCTGACAACTGTTTCTTCTGGTGTCTACAGTACCAAGCGCATTATAAGTGATAATCCATTCGATCCTGCCAGTTTCTTGCGAATAGTTGAGGAACACAAAGTGACGTGGGTGCTGCTTTCACCTCTTCACTTGGCCTTGACAGCAAACTGTCCAGAATTTGAGAAAGCCAACCTGCTGAGCATACGAACCTTTCTTTATGGAGGTGCTCGGTGTTCCTTGGAAGCCCAACACAAAATAAGAAATCGATTGCAACACGATTGCATGAGCCTTATGTATGGCCTGACAGAGCTGGGTATGATATCAATGAATTTGAATTTTGATCAGAAACCCAATTCATGTGGCCGCCCAGCCAATGGTAGCAAGATAAAGATAATGGCTGAAAACGGAGATCTTTTGGGACCGAACGAAATTGGAGAGATATGCGTCAATAATGGTCGGCATTGGGCCGGTTACTACGGAAATCCGGAGGAAACACAAAATGTGCTTGATTCGGAGCAGTGGTTCTACACTGGTGACTTGGGCTACCTGGATGACGATTGTTTTCTCTATGTAGTAGATCGGAAAAAGGAAATGCTGAAGTACCAGAGTTATAAATATTTTCCGAATGAAATCGAAGAGGTAATCGCCCAAATGCCCGATGTGGTTGATGTGTGCGTCTTTGGCGTGTGGGATCCCATGGGTAGCGACAAGGCTACCGCAGCTGTGGTTAAAAAGTACGGATCACAACTACAAGCTCAGGATATTGTAGACCACGTTCAGAAGAACATAAAAATAATGAACAAACATCTGCATGGAGGTGCTATCATAGTGGATCAATTAAAGCATAGCCCAAACGGCAAAGTTAATCGCAAGGCCACAAAAGAATATTGTCTTAAGCTATTGGAATCAAATGGATATGTGGAATCAAATTGACGTGACTGAACACAATTAATATGTTTTGTAGCTATATTGCTTAATCTAATAAGCTGCGAACGATCTGTCGAAGCTTATCTTTCTTACCAATCTTCCTTAGCAATAAATTTGTCGTCCAATAGGACGGAACACACAAAACTTTGATTATTGAGTTACCGTCGACATCCTTCTTGTTAGGGGGCCATAACGAAAATTCCCTGTAATTCCACAGGCCAAAACCAAAAATAAAGAATAATTAATATTAATATTCTTTGATTTTTTCGGTTTGCCGCCTAAAAATGGCCTCAAGATTGCATATAGTCAGTATCATGGTGGATATTAAATAAATGTAACTGCTTGCATATGCTTTTGTTCACTGCTTGTTTGAACTGCTTGTGAACACTGCCGATTATGTGAGCTGTTTGTTGCGTATATGCGCTGCTTGCGTACACTGCTTAGCTAGGGTCCACAAAATGCATTGTTTGATTAAATTTGATTAAATTATGGAACATAACTTTTGCAGAAATAATCATAAATTTATTATATATGAACAAAATTTAAATACCAGCTATTGGCGGCTTGTAGAGTCCAATCCAAATGAGTATTCATATCATGAAATGAACGGCCCTTGTTATCAGTTGGACAGCTTTTTAGGCTTATCGCCAACATTGGTTATATCTGAAGCTTTTCGTTGTTTTTGGGTGGGTTGTCTGATAAGTGACGTTTGTTAACCATTTGATAGGATAACGGTTAGCTGATAAGCAACTGCCAACCTGGTCTAGTCAAAGACAAGTCCAGGTGTTTGTCGGTAGTTGCTGAACGACTTGCGCGACGCTTGGACTCTGCGCTCCACGCATCCCCAGTAAATACACGTCTCTTATCAGTTATCTAGAGAATAACATGGAGGGCGGCCCCAGTACACAGTTTGATAAATATACAAAAGTTTGGAGTGGACCAAGGCCGGCGCATTTCTTTGACGTCGATTGCTCCATTGGCAAAATATTGTTTGCCTTCATGCGCAACCATCCGGCAAGCCTTTGCCAGGTGAGCTTTAAGACTGATCAGTTCTCCCAAGTAGAGGAATTATTGGTGTTTTTTAACAGATCTGCGATACGGAGGGCACAGCTCTGACAAATGGCGAAGCCATCAGCTTTGCCATACGCATCGCCCAGCAGCTGAAGGCGATGAATCTGCGACAAGACGATGTAGTTGGCATTGCCGCCACCAACACCACATATCTGATGCCTGTGGTGCTCGGCTGTCTGCTCAACGGCACGCCCTTTCATGCCGTCAGCCCCTGGCACGACGAGCCCACCTTCAAGCATTTGTTCTGCATCACCCGACCACGGATCATCTTCTGTGATGGTTCTGTCTATGACAGACTGAGCGCCATAGCCAAAATGTTAAAGGCGCCCGTTTATACGCTCAAGGATCATCGGATACAGCTTCCACGCATTGAGGATCTACTTGAGCCAACAAAACAGGAGATCCACTATATGTAAGTAAAGAAAATCTTTAGTTTAGTTCAAAGTTTATACAGGATTAAAAAATTCGGAAAGGGCTGCAATTTAAATGCTCTTTAAAATTGAGCATTTGTGCTGTGACTATAATGAATCTGTATATATATATATAGCATAATTAAACCTCTCTTCCATGGTTTTAGACCGGAACCTCTGATGCTGGGCGGCGATCAGACAGTAGCTATACTGTGCACCTCTGGCACGACAGGCTTGCCGAAAGCGGTTTGCATATCCAACTCCGCTTGCCTGTTCGACTTTGGGTAGGATAAAGAGAACAATACTAGATGAGACGCAGCATATTAATTGACTTATAATTTGATTCGTCCATAGCTTTGTCACCGGCCAAGATGTGCTGTTGTCCTTCAGCACCATCGACTGGGCACCGGGGTTGTTCAACATGCTCTTCAGCTGCTGCCACGGCTCAACACGCGTCATCACCGACCATGCCTATACGCCGGAGTATATGCTGCAGCTGATCGAAAAGTATAAGGTGACGTTGCTGACTGTGGCACCGCAGCAGGTCGCCTCGCTGATCAAGGCTCCCACGCTCAGCCAGCAGAGATTGGCCAGCGTTCGCTTCATCAGCATTGGGGGCGGCAACTGCTATGTGGCCAATCTGTTGAAGCTTCAAGACTATCTGCTCAATGGTCAAATTTCTTATGGCTACGCATTAACCGAATGCGGAGGTGTTGCAGCAAACATGGGCGTGGCCAAGCCCTCATCTGTGGGCAGGATAGTGCCGGGAGTTAAAGTAAAAATCCTGGATGATGCCGGCCGCAGCTTAGGCCACGGCGAAACGGGCGAGATCTTGGTGCATAATGGCAAAGTTTGGAATGGCTATTATGGCAATCCAAACGAGTCGAAGCACATGCAGGACTACCAAGGCTGGTTTCATACCGGCGACATGGGCTACTTTGACAACGAGAATTTCTTGCATATCGTGGAACGTAAGCGCGACATGTTGCGCTTCCATGGAGCCCAATACTGCCCCTACGAACTGGAGCAGGTAATTGCGGAGCTGCCCGATGTGATTGAGGCGTGTGTGTTTGGCCTCTGGAACGAGGTCGACGGCGACCCAGCTGCAGCAGCCGTTGTCAAAATACCTGGCAGTCGCCTTAGCGAAATGGATATTGTGGAATACGTGGCTAAGCGTTTGGTGGTCGATCACAAGCAGCTCCACTGTGGGGTCTTCTTTCTCAACGAACTGCCAAAGACGGGCAGCGGCAAGGTACTCCGCCAACAGGCCCGAGATCAGGCACTGGGCAAACATTGGACCGACTATCGCAATGGACATTAATTATTATTGTGTATAAATTGTTCGTTGTGGCTTTAGGTCTTAGAATTTAGGCATTTTATTTATTAAATGACTCATACATTCCAGTATTCAATCACTATAGTTGTTGTTGGCTGGGCTAACTGCTGAAAAAGAAATGAAAGCCGAAACGAAGGCAAGCCGAAGACGAAATGCCCTTAAACTACACTCGGGGCTAATTTGCTCTGTTTTCAACAGACAGACAGAGAGAGAGCAGCCAGTATATCGAGTTGCTGAATACATATAGTAGAGCATATATACTCAAAGTTCCATGGATTACCATATACTAGAGTAAATTGTTGAATCGTTTTTATAGACGGTCGCAAGTATTCCACTTTTATTGCGGGCTTTGTATTTATTTTTTTGCCATTATCACGTGCTTATCTATAAATGATTAGCGAACAATCGCGATATGCTGCCACCTAAATATTAACCAGGCCAAAATGTGAAATGAGGAACTAACTTTAATATACAACCAGTCGGAATCGACAATAGTCTGCCGTTTCGAACTGTTCCCTAGATATCAGTCGTAAGGGTTGAAAGCATTCTATTTATTGCTGTGAGAATATATAAAAAGTCTGTATACTATATAGACCCAATAAACTAGTGCTAATAGGCCCAATTTGAAGGTGCTTATAGGTGCTATATAAATAATTTTGAATTAAATGAGAAAATTTAATTACGATTTCAATTAAACTGTACTATTATTGTAAACTATTACAAATGAATTTTATTATTATTATAGGATCTGCATTAACTAAACGTCAAGGCATTTCTAGTAATGATCAGCTTCGCAGACCTTTCTGATCAGTTCTCTAACTTTGAATATTCTCATTGAACTTCCAACTGTAGATAATTAATAATATTCGAGAATAAATATAGTACAGTCACTGCTAAAATGACTACATAAATTCTTAAATACTAAGCCGAATTTCTGCAGGGATCAGTCAAATCTCAGCCTAGAGCTAATCGAGAAGTTTTTCTAGTATAATTACTCTGCGTTGTTGTTAGTTACATCTCTCGTCACCTTTGTTCAAATTAAGTTGATCAGCCAAGTGATATTAACGTTGGTCTAGCCAATCACCAATCTGTCAACCCTCGGCATGACATCTCAATTCATAGCTCCATAGATTAGCCCCATTTGCAGTTCAACAACCCTTTAACCTCTGCCTTTCAGTCGAGGGTTAATCCCCAAACGCAAACTGATCGTATGAAACATTTGATTGACAGCTAGCCAAATTACACTTTGTACGTGATCTTGTCAGCATTGCAATTGGATACATTGCCCCCTCCTCGTCGTTGCCTGAATCACGATCACCGCTTGGGTGCAATCCCTAAAAATAAACTCAATGTTTGGATACGCAGCAGCAGGCGCAGCCGTAGAAGCAGCAAAAACAATTAAACAGGCACTTAGGAACAGAAGAATTAATTTCATTTTGGGATCGCCGAGGATGGTTGATAATGATCGGGTGCTCTTAGGTTGATTGACAGTTGCAAGTTATTGTCTTCAATGTCAAGTTCAAGTTCATGAAATACAATCTTTTTGGGGGGCATTTAGATGTATTTGTCATTGATCATGCCAGCGATCATGTCGCTTTCCTGTTGCTGTTCTTGTTGTTGATGATCGTGGTATTTGCCGCGGCCGCTGTCTGTTCAGGCGTATCAAATATGCAGGAAGTGCAAGGCGTAGCCAATTGCATTAGTCTCGGTGCCGGGCATGGGGCAACATTTCAAAGCTGCCTGGCGCCTTGGCCAGCTTTGGTTAACTTGACTAAACCTGACTGATCTTGTTCACAGAGAAAAAGAGAAAGAGAGAGCAAGAAAGAGAGATAGAGGGAGCTGTAGCACCTCTAATTGTCATGCAAATACCAATTATCATTTGTCAGTAATGCCACTTAGAATAATGTGTCTATGTATAATTAAATGCCAGCGACTGATTCTTTGATCGATCATTATCTACCAGCTACAATCGACAATCAACAACGACGATCTACGATCTACGATCTACGATTTGCGATCAGTGATCGTCGCGATATAGATCAGAACTCATGAACTAAGCTCTCGCTGATTAATTCATTAGCAACTGTCGACCAGTTTGTCAGTTACACACATATGACAACAGACTTTACTATGCGAACTTGCTTTTGATCGTGTTGAAAGTGTTTTTGCATTATATAAAGAATTGTCGAGGCAGAAAATCTTTGTTTTTATGCCTGTCGTCTATGCTACATGAAGTATTGCTTAATTAGCTCCACGATTTGCATATGTCAAAGCAAAGAACTCACCCAATGATCTATATATTCGCTCTCAAGCTCTCAAGCCCCTATAGCTAATCTTGATTCTAATTAAAGGAATGGAACTGTCGATTCGATTCGAATACACCCTAAAATATTCCCAAGACTTGATTGTCATTCACAAATTTTAAGCTTTTACAAAATTTTATCGAAAATAATGGCCTTTTTTTATAAAAAACTTGTTAGGCATTTAAGGACTTGTTTGGCCTCCACGGGGATTCAGGCGCCCCTTCTTATTGGATTATATGTGTATAACTATGTAGATTGGCCGAAGCGCGTGCGTACGTTCGAACAACGTTTATATGGTAAGCAATCGAGCTAGCTTAACAAGCAGATCAATCAGATCCACTAACCAAACCATTTTTATTTTTGTAGGCAGAGCTTCCAGTAAAATCCAAAAAGATTTTCATCGAAGTACGGGTCAAGAGAAGATATAGAGAGACACACAATCAGCAAATTCGATGGGAGAGTGGATTTATATTTATATATGTGCAAAAAGAAGTTTAAACAGTCAGTTGCAAGTCATCGATTCAAGCTTCGCCATTAGATTTGACTTTGATTTGTCTGATCATTTTTTTTGTGTATATTTTATAGAAATTTCAACTTTATGTAGTATATTTAAGAATAAAAACTTAGATTAAGAAAATGCATCCACAAAATAAAGTCCTCACAACTAAGATTCGCTTTGCCTAAACTCAGAACATTGAAACCTATTCACATTAATAACTTTTAGGGTTATCTGTCAGGATATCAACAGGGATCTACCTGCCAAGCTCTAACACTGTAAAAGACATTCTCCTCCGATTCGCCATATTTTCCAGCATCTAGCTTCTATAGAGCATTAAATAATCGTTGAGAGTAAGAAGTTGTAATGCTCGATTTGTCACGTTCCTGATAGGCGTATCCAGTGAATATTAACTCATTATAAGACGAGGGTACCCACAGGCATATTTATAGTCTAGATGCACAAAACCAATATACTCTGCCTTCACTGTGCGAACGAGTAAGCGACTTGGTTTACTTGGTTGGCCCAAGTCTGTCATTTCACTAATTTAATTAAATTAATTTAGATTAAAGGAATATCTGAAAATTTAACAAATATTTAGAGGTATATTAATAATAAATAAAGAGATTATATGGCACCAATATACCCCTCTCCCGAATACCCTGCATTCGACTTTGACACATTGCCAGCGACTTGGGAGAATGTTGAGAACCCACAATTTATGGCGCTTAAATTGCAGTCATGCGCATGAGCTAACAAGCTCAACCAGCCCTCCCCCCTCCCCCTTCCATAAATAAGCCCCGTTCGCTCCAGAAGCTAATGGGATTGCGGCTTTGGGGCGGATGCTTGGTGTCAAAACACGCAGCACATTTTCCACGGAATTTCAGAGCGAATCCTTGCACCTCATCATCGGCTCCAACCTACATCTTGAGCGCTCCTTCCCCACAGTCTCCTCATCTTCGAGCTGTTTAATTTATGTTAGCGACGTGTTCGCTCACTGAAAACAAACGGATCGATCGCAAAATGGGAACGATGCATCGATTGTTGCTTGGGCTATAAAAATAGTGGCTCGATTGTTGTTGTTGTTGTTGTCGTCGTCGTTGGCGCTGTTGCTTTTATCAATTTGTGTTCATTTCTAAGCACGAATCGAGCAGCATAGATCATAAAATGCTGTGCCCCCGGCCCATGGTCAGTGTAAGGAAACAACAACAACTTGAAAATTTACATAATTACCGCTGGCGGTGCTTTTCATGAGAGCCGCCCGAACGTGTCAAAATGAAAAGTGTTGCATGATTAGCGCGTAAATAACACGGCCAGGGCATAAATCTCGACGGAGTAGTCGGACTCCCCAGCCAAGAAGCCGGCTTCGGGTAAGATAATCAAATAAATGTACCGATTAATAAAGATGAAGATGCTTGCAGAGCTCCGCAGCTCCACAGCGACAGGCACAAGAGAGAAAACAAGAGTGAGCTAGGCAAAAGTATGAAGGACTACAGGTTACCCTGTGCCTAGACCTATTCCACTGCTTCCTCTTTCTCATTCTTCACAAGAAAAAAAGATAAAGAGGTGACTCTTACGAACTAGCCGTAGTGCTCAGTCGCACTACTGAACAATATACCTAATTTATCAAACTTTTAATGGGTATACACACTAAAGAGAGGCAGAGAGAGAAAGGGAGATAGAGAAAGAAAGAGAGAGACCTTAACAGCAAGATCAATTTGTCTGCTGAGGTGGCCAACTGCCTGATTAGCCAACCAGCCAGCCAGCTGTTTTGGTTCGCCTGGCGCCTGTAGCAACAGGAGTCCGCCTATGCATAGCCCCGCCCGCTCCTTGCCCTGCCACCCATTGTGGGAGGTGTGAAATGTGTGCCGAGGCGTAGGGAGGGGGCGGCCAACACATTGGCAAGTTGTAGTCGCCAACGGGCTAACATGACACATGGCTGTAGCTGCAGCTGTGGCTGCAGCATAACTTGGTCAATAATAAGCGAACGCAACAAGTGATGCGGCTTATGCCCGTTGGCCCAAGATGAAAACCGGCCAAGTTGTTCGTTCATATCGCAGATGCTGCGATAGACAGCAATTCCTTAACACGTCCCGAGGACCGCAGGCCGGCAAGAAATATGAAAGAATAAAGCAATAAGAAGAACAGTTAGCTTTAAGTTGTACGAACTCTAAATACCCTTGCAGATAAAATGTGTGGAAAAAAAAAAGCTGAATCTAATAAGAATTTTATACATTTGGTAGCTTCA